AGGAACATCTGGTCCTCAGGACAAACATCTGGACCTCAGGACAAACATCTGGACCTCTGGAGGAACATCTGGACCTCTGGAGGAACATCTGGACCTCAGGTGGAACATCTGGCAGTAGTTTAGTGACATAACTTACCCGAGTGTGTGTCATCAGCCACAATAAATAAAACACAATGATGATACAATCAATCTGTGACATTTTATTTGTCTCATGTTCGCTCCTCACAGTTTGTCTCAGAGATCTTAAGTTGTCTCGTCCTCTGGTCTTCACCCTGAACAGGAGGACATCCACCACAGAGACTAATCACTGTCATCAATGAGCTGGTCACGTGTGTGTGTGTGTGTGTGTGTGTCAGGTTATTATGAAACAGTAAATTAATGAAATATAATGACGTATTTTTAATTTTCCTTTTTGATGAAATCAACAAACTCACTCTTCTTCTCTGGTCCTCCACCTGAACTCACTCTTCTTCTCTGGTCCTCCACCTGAACTCACTCTTCTTGTCTTACGAAGTAAAAAACACTGGATTAGTTATTTAAAATAATAATAATAACACCATGACTACATGTCCCATCAGTCACTGCGGTGCCTCTGTGCGCTCATCAGACACCTGTGGTGTGAGTGTGTTTCCGGACAGTGCGGGGATCGAACCTGTGCTCTGCTGCTCCGTGTGACCTCTGACCGCCGCCTCTGTGACTGTGAGTGACGCTGTGAGCGTGTTATCAGCGCGAGCTTCTGCTAGCATGCTAACCTGATGCTAACCTGATGCTAACCTGATGCTAACCTGATGCTAACCTGATGCTAACCTGATGCTAACCTGGAAGCTCGCCGCTGTGTTTCCGTCTCCATGGTGACGGGCTCTTCCGGCTGCAGTGGAGTTGGTCTGTGGAGTTTCAGTGTCTGTTCCTGTGTCCGCTGGTTTTCATGACGTCATCTGTCTCAGGTTCTGTCTGTCTTCAGTCCATCAGCAGCTGGTGTCCTCCTGGAGACCTCACATGTGACTGAGCTTCAGTCTCAGAGAGTTTGACTCTTGGTGAGTTAAGGACAGAGGACGTTGCTGCTTGTTGACACCGATGAGACAAAGTGAACATGAGACACATCGTTAAATCTTCTTTATATAATTATACAAAGCAGCTTTCGTTTGGAAGTTACTGTGATTAGAGAGAGACGCAAGAGACATGAGAGACACACGAGAGACACACGAGAGACACATGAGAGACACATGAGAGACACATGAGAGACACACGAGAGAGACACATGAGAGACACATGAGAGAGACACA